GGGTTGCTCTGCATGGGAAAGTATGAGAGGGGTGATAACTGTGTGTATTAAATTTCCAAGATTTTCTCTTGTGCTTCTATTTTTTATGAGTCCTATTCTAACTTTATGTTGAAATAGCCACTTAAAAGTCTCCAAGTACAATTTTAAACTTCTTTTCTGTATCCTGCATTATGTTCCCTTGAGGTTTGGTCTTCTACTTAATCCACTTGTGGACTGTATTCATTCTGAACATATCTGTCTCTTCCAGTGGCCATAACACTAGAGTCGCACGATAGCCTCATGAAAAGGATTTTGCTCTTCACACTCTGCAAATTGCAGCACAGACCCTCAAACGATACCATAAGAGCTATTCTGAAAGCTGACAATACAAGAATTGATTTCACACTTTATTGCTAAGAAGCTCCCTGTGTAGGTCTATCTTTATGTAGCAAACACCAGTTATCTAACAACTTCCTGGGATCTCAGCATTTCCATTTTTCCTGAAGAAGTACAATTCAGTTCACAGCTAGAATATTTTTTCTTGCACAATTAAATGGCAGCATGGGTGTTAAGAGTCTATCACTGGAAGCACAAATTCTTGTGACTTTTTAAAAAACTTTCTATTATCTTCAAAAAAATTTTTCAGTCTGTTCTGGGCATGGTATCATCAAAGTTTGTGATGTTTTTTTAAATGGGATGTTTTTGGAGACATTTTTAGGAAACTGGTGTTTTGGAGATATATTTTGGAAAAAGCTAATATATGAAATATATCAATATTAAATTTGTGGTGTAAAGATTAGTTTTAACACTCCAATTTAGATCAAAGGTAGTACATTATACTCCTGTCCCCTACCCTCCCCAGAAGGACTGTGATTTGAAAACAATAATATCCAGAATGACCCCACAGAAACTTATTTGCAGTAACAAGTCAGTGCAATGGATTATAAATTCCAACATAATCTTTACCAATGGCGATGGGGCAGTCTTGCATCTTAATTTCTCACGGCTTGCATGACAAAGATACACCCTGATGCTCGGCAAAATTACCCAACAACTGCAAAGCTTCATAGTCTAGAAGTTCAATTATTTCTTCATGCTTGCTTTAGGATTCCAGAATTCCAGGGAGACATAAAACTCAATTTCAAAAATAAACTTTGCACTTTAAAATGAGAACAGGCAAGCTTTCCCCTTGTGTAGAAAAAGCTATGCCTAAGCAACAGTGAGAGTCATCAGCTTGTCAAAATGAATCATTAACAGTCAATGCAGGACATTTGTTGTATAAATATCTAAGGATCCCTCCTCTCTATAAGCCTCCTGACCTTAAGCATCTCTCTATCTTATCAGAAAGTTGAACAAGTAAAGTTAAAAAGGAATGGTATGTGCCTTATGATGCGGTTTTCAGGAAGAAGAACAAGAACATCTAAGTGGCACGAGTAGAAAAAGCTTTTTAGTAGAGCATTTGAACTGAACATAAAGTCATGGCATCAAAGAATCAAAGAATCTTTGATTTGGGCAGAGATAACAAACTCATATTCCAGAGAGTTATCATAGTTAATAGACGTGAGCTAAAGCTAGACAGGAGTATTGGGGATGTGGTGACCTGTGGGCTACGTGCTTCACCCAAAGGAAGAAATCTCTTCTAAGCACCACCAGTGGTGCCCAAAGGGAACGCAGGCACATGCTGTCTTATCTTTTCCCCAAGAAGAGCAATACTTCAGGTTTTTATGCTAACCTACTGATTCATAAATATTGACTATATCTATCTGTTTTACAGCATTTCAGGCCATGAGCTACTTGCTTGCTGCTTTCATTTTAAGATTGTTTTGCTCAAAACTTATGCACTTCAGAATGCTTCGGTCTCCTTTGTCACTTTTCCACCAAGTGGTCATCCACATTCCAATTTAACTCCTCCTCTGGTGAGACTCGAAATGCCAGATAGGGCAGGATGACTGATGGAACTGTCTTCCTTGAATTTGTCCTTAATATTACCTGAGTTTTCGGATGTACCACAGAGGCTGTCTACATACGGGACCTAAGCATTCAAAAACAGTCATGTTCCTCACAAATGTCTTGTGTCTGGTTTTTGTTCAGCTATCACGGTTTCAAGTTTCTCACCAGTTGGTGACTGTCATCTGGGTGGATTCAGTGTTTTGGTTGCAGTTTAAAATGAGAGCAAGGGGCTGGGGATTTAGCTCAGCGGCAAAAGCGCTTGCCTGGCAAGCGCAAGGTCGTGAGTTCGGTTCCCGGTACCGGAGAAAAACCAAAAAAAAAAATAAATAAATAAAATGAGAGCAGCCAAGCTTTTCCCTTCATGTTTGACACCCAGTGCCAAATGAAACTGTCTAAGTCAGTGATGCTGACTCTTTAGAGCTTTCAGTGACCACAAATTGCCCACTGCGGTGTGTGCACCTCAGGTTCACCACCGCTGGTCCAAATGAAGAATGAATACGACTACCCTTGTTCTCGTTATTACGGATCATGGAGCTCAGGTATCAGTGCTTGAAACTGCACACACGTTGGATGTTGTATGTCGAAAAGGGTTCATCCAAGACAAAATCATCAGAACAGCTGAAAGAAAAAGAGACAGAGGGCCACACCAGCCTCCAAATTTGAGGGACTAAGAAAGTGTTTCCCAAAGCAGCTGCCTCTTAGTACCTCCCCGTGAACAATGTCTGAGGGTGCCAACTTCTCCGAGCCCTGAGAATGACTTAGCCCATGCTTTGTTATAAAGGCCTTTTTACAAAACAATTAAGCATGTTTCATGCAGATTCTACCGTGGAAAGATACATGGATGCTACTCTTTATTAATATTCTTGTAGGAATTACTGTATTGATTATTTCATTGTCATTACAAAAATAAAACATTAGCTCATTCTCTTTCAGCCATTAGGAACTGCCTCATCAAATGCTTTGCCCCACTCAAGGGGCATCTCATGGCCCCAGACTGGCTTAAACAGAGCTCCAAAGCTTTGTCCCCTAATTTGGGGCGATTCTGCCACCTCTCCAAAAACAGTGCTCCCTATAGGACTGAGTGAGGCCTTCGCTGTAACAGCATTGATTAGCCTCCCCCTTGGCCCAACCTAGATGACCTACTTTTTTTTTTAGATTTATTTCCTCCGAGCGCTCTGTAATAACACTTCTGCCTTGAACTTTACATTTCAGTTTGTTTGCAATAACTCAATTTATTCAGCCTTTCTAGATCTTTGATCTAGAAACATTTATTGTCCATTACAATGAGAACAATAAAGGTTTTTTTCAAAAATACTATCACAGGTACGTTATTCCTCTGAAATCCTTTAGAGATTGAAGAAATTGGTAGAGAATAGAAAGTGTCTCCCTAAACAGGAACTAAGTCTACTAGATAGCTACTGTCGTAACCACACTGGAAGGGAGGATGGAGTCAAACACTGTCAGCTGTCTAACATCTCACCATTCGGTAGCAGCCAACAGGCAAAATTCCTTAGAACAAAAATGACGGTAATAGAAATTAACAGTGGTGTACAAAAATCCAGAATCGAGTTTGAGGAATTAGCTATGACTCATTACATCATTGTATGTACTGAGTACTGTTCTACAGAATGCAGATTTGAACCCTAATTCTCCAGTCCACTAAGTGTCTCTCTGGTCTACCCAAAGAGCTGACTTTCCTTTCAATCACCTTCTGTTGAGTCCATCAGAATTGGGAGCTGTTGTTTGTGTCTGAATACCAGGTTGATACACTGAGGATTAAGTAATGTTATTCGTGGAGAACATGTTACATAATATGTAAGGTAAGTACAGAGCAAGAGTTCAATACTCTGCAAGGATGAGGTATGGCCTTTCTGGTGGTGGTGTGTAATTTTCAAATCATAGCTTTGATCACCATGAAAAGTAATTGAATTAGTAAATGGAGAATACTAGAACAGTGGCTTGCACGTAATAATTATACAGTACATGTTACTTATCAAAAGTATTGCCCTTTAATAATAGTATCTCCCCTATACACTGAATTGTTGGCTCAGGATAACTACGCGAGCATGGGGCTTGAACTAAACCAAGATGGTTACACTGACCCCGTGTCAGAAATGGGATATGAACCCAGCTTTCCTACAGAGCTCTGTCTGAAAAAGCAGTGTTCTCTGTTCACTTGGCATTCTGGTGCCAGCTCCTTCCATCCATCCTTGTCTCATGCTTCTGAGATTGGAAGCATTATAAGAAAGAGTATGGATCTCAGTTAACTTTCATGCCACAAGCTATGATGTCATCAGGTGCCATGTCATCAGGTGCCTTTATGTCAGGGAATTTATATGCTTACTGTGTTCTCAGTGTTGCCGGAGAGAACTTGGAATGTTTAGCACTTTTTACTTACCACAGAGAAAATGTATTTAAAATTCTTTGTAAAGTATGTAAACCCAGCATTTTGAAGTTATACCCTTGATGGCAACTGTCCTAGACTTCTTACAATGAACACTTTTCTGTTTTCTAGAAAATGCTTCACATTTAATTTTGCTTTACTGAGATTTGAATTTACAAACTTTCCCAAGGTCAAGGTATCAACGTACAATATGGGTCTTGATCAGAAGGCATGATTCATCAGCCTTCATTTCAATTATGTGAGTAGGAAAAAAATTTCAATTAAAATAGAAGAAGAGAGCCTCTCCAAATTTAATCTGCTTGTCTCTAGCTCTCAAGCTGACAAAATGCAGAAAGAAGTGACTTAAAGTGTTTACTCTGCTTAGAAGTGATTTTAATAATTCAATGTTTTTCAGAAGTATTAAAAGTGAAGTACAATGTAACTAAATGTTTCAAATATATTTTACCTATAAAATGCTGCATATGCTTTGAATATGGTGTGATCACTTTTCCAATCAAGTTAATTTTTGACATTACAAAGTAATGGAACATTCTATACTGTTTACTTACAGACTTTTAAATATCCTGTTACCTTTTTATCCATTTTTAATAGGATATTTGAAAGGCATAATGCTTCTCAGAGGATACCACATTCAAGAGAACTTACTGTTCACACAAAGCTGGGTTAGTTCTAGGACAGATTAAGAAACAATGGGGAGGGTGCAACATGGGTGGTTTAAATGGTCCTTGCACTCACTTCATTGGCCTACAGTAAGGAGGTGATACAGTAGAAGCTGTTGGGCTCCTGGAAATAAAGATTCTGAGAAGACTCTGCCAACCTACTGGATGAAGAACTTCAACATGGTCAGTAACGTTTCCCTCCTCTTCAATTTAAGTGGCCATTGTAACACACACCCTTATAGTCCATGCATATTGTCTGCTATATATTCACTTTTTTTGTTTTGTTTTGTTTTGTTTTTTGGTTTTTCTCCAGTACCGGGAACCAAACTCACAACCTTGAGCTTGCCAGGCAGGCGCTTTTGCCGCTGAGCTAAATCCCCAGCCCCTATATTCACTTTTCCTTCTGCGGTCTACCTTGCTTCAGGCTGTGCTGCCTCTTCTGTTCATTCCACAGTTGGCTGCCTGCTTTTGCTGTCTCCTCTAATGCATCCACTGTACTCTTTCCAGAACATCATTTTCAAAATCATTACAGGGTTATGTCCATTCTGTAGTTTAACCCTTCAGTGGTTCCACCTGTGACCCATATGATGCTGGTGGTGCAGTGGTGGAGGATCAGCAAGTACTCACGGAAGTAAGTGTGGACAGGAAGCAGAAGGAAAGATCCTGGATTATGCCAAACTTCCTTAGCGTGGCCCATGAGAGTTCTGTCTCATCTTTCTTGCCCCTGTCCTGTCCTATCTGGCTTCTTCCTCCACAAGTCTTGATCATAATAAATTATTGTTTTACCCTAAATTAGTCATGCTGGCACAAAATAAATGTTGGTTGAAAGAAGGTTTTTAAATAAATAGCTGCCTGGGTCCCAAAGCCCCAGGCCACAGCTATGAAAGAGTTTCTGTATTCAAAAGATCTACCACAGCGTCTTCCTGTGAGCTGATCATGCTCACCACATCAGAGTGGTGGGTTCTGCCCTGCAGTTCTGTGGGGAGGGGTTAGCCTCCCTGTTAGCACAATACAATTAAGTTTTCCCTGTGGTAGGGAGTAGCAAAGTACTATTTCTGTTTCTAGATGGAGAATGATTATAATCACAGGTACGTAACTCTGATGGGGGTTTTATACAGAGATGTTCGGTGAAGGCTGTAATATTTTGTATTGAACAGTTGGAAACAAAAGCTCTTATCTGTCTCCTTCCGTCTCTGTCTCTCTCGCTCTGTCTCTCACTGTCTCTCTCTGTTTCTTTCTCTCCCTCGCCCTCTTCCTCCTTCCAAGTTCCTGTTTTCGAACTGACAGGCTAGGAAAACATTTATTGTTATTTTTGAATTCCCAGATATTTCTGGAAAGCACTGCACAGACACCCCACTGCTTTATTCTTTTTGTACCTCCTCAGTTACTTGTATGCCATACATAATTTTCTAATGTCATTTACTATCCTTGGCCATGGTCAACCCTCTTCCTTCCTCTGTTGGAGTGTGGAATGCACAGAGGGAGAGATTTAATTATGTACTCCTTTGAAACTTTAATTTGGGGAGTGATATTTACATTATCCCATAACAGGACTATAAAACAAACTAGAAAGTAACGGCCTTGGATGGAGCCCATCCCCTCCGTCCCCAGGTGGGCAGGGGACTGCAGCAAGGATGCGGATGGCTGACTGTATCTTTCCTAAGGCAGAAGCACAGGGCAGCACCATCAACAGAGTATCAAACAGCCTCTCCAAGTTATGACGAATCAGACAAAGGGTTTGTACCTTGAGAACGAACCTGTTTGCTTCCTTTCTAATCCGTGTTTCTCTTCCAGGAAGACATGACCATCGGAGTAACCTTGTTTCTCTGTCTGACTGACCAGCTTCTGCATCCTAGATCACTCAGAGCAGAGATGGTGGGATGGATCTGCCATCAGACCTTGCTGCCGGTGGGACGCAGTCCCCAACTCACCTTCCCTTTCACCCTCACCGGTTAAGTCCTTGGTGAGAAGAATGCACAGATTCACCAACAGTGACCAGGGGTAGGAAATGTCTTTTTGTCTCAGGGCTGATTCTACACGCATATGGTGGCCTTATTTGTAACTGTCGTGCAATCACCAGCACCACCCTCCCGAAACGTCCTCTGCAGGTGTGGTTTTTGCTCCTCCTGACATCTTTCTTCCAATTTATTCCATAGCAAAACAGAAAAGAATACTGTATCTAATATGCATTGTCTTGTATTTTGCAGTTAAAACCTTCCTCTTACATTGAGGAAATAAAGGAACAAAGATGGGAAAAAATGGCTTTTAAACATTTCCTGAACAACCAGAAAAAGCCAATATTTAGGGGTTTTTTGGTTTTTGTTTCTGTTTTTGATTTCTAAGTTAGCGTTTCACTATGTAGTTCAGCCTGGCCTTGAACTCACTATGCAGCCCAGACTGGCCTCCAACTCATGACAATCCTCCTGCCTCAGCCTCCCAAGTGCTGGGATTACAGCCGTGCACCCCCATGTCCAGCCTGCCAATATTCAGTTTAAGTAGAGATGCAGAATGTAAGGTCCTACCAAGGGGACTTTAAAGAACTGGAGACACATGCTTCCTAGTATAGCTTGGTTATACAGGAAAGATTTGTTTAGGGAAACAACTGTTACTTAACAGCTTCTCAGAAGGAGCTTCTCCGGAACTGAGGATTCACGGAGCAGTTGATAATGCTGGTGTAATCAATGAGGAACAGTCAAAGCCTGTTGAAAGCAGAGGCAGAAGAAAGCTGATGTGATTGCTTTTTGAAGCAAAATTGCCTAAATGAAAACCTCTATCTTTATTCACAGTAATGCTTCCCCTCCAGACTCCAAGGTCATGGCCAGATTCTAGGTTGAAATGACATGTGCAAGTACTCTCCACCATCACGGGAAACACTCTGGCCCCCGTGACTCCAAGCTCTTGGAAACCTGACATTGCAGCTCCTGGCCTACAGTTTCCAAGCTGTTCTTTTCTCTGGGAGTGAATCGTGTTCTGAAGGCACCCTGGTCCCCTTCGCAGAAGCACTGTGCTTAAAGGTCATTTTCTTCCTTCTAGGAAAGGAGGGGAGAAGCTCCTACAGCCTGAGGCCCCGGGAGAAGATGCAGCTGAGACGTACATGAGGTGCTTCAAGGACATTCAGAAAGAGAAACGGCAGTTCACCAGGTTGCCCTCCATGGCCGCTCTAGCTCCGGGCAGCAGCCCGTTGGTTTGGATCTGTGGTAGCACGGGGTGGTGGGAACACCTCATAGAGCAAAACTGCTGTTGTCACAGGGTAGAGAGCAAAGATAGGAAGCAGGAGCCAGGACTCCATGATCCCCTTTGAGCACACGCCTTCGTGACTGAGGACCTCCCCAGAAGACCCCATCTTTTAAATTCTATCACTGGTGCCATCATGGGGAACTAGCCTTTAGTACTCGGCCTTCAGGGGACAGTCAAGATCCACACTCTGGCAATATGTGAACGTGTACAGTGGTGGAATATCCTCCCCATGCTCCCCTCCACAAACTCTGTTTGATCTCCCTATTTTAAGCATTGATCAGTTGAAATGTTTTATGTTAATGACAGACATGAATTATTAGACAGTGCTCCACTGAAACATAAGGTCTCTGTCTCTTCCCCTTTACAATTGCTTAATATAGACTATGGTGGAAGTGATGATACGCCAGCTCCTATTCCCAAGCCCTAAGAGGATGGCAGGTTCTACTTCCTGGCTCTTGGCAACGCTTACTAGTAACTCCACCTGTCGGGCTGTGAGGAGCTTAAGCAGCCACGTGGGTGAGTTCATGTGAGAGAAACCAGCCCCTGCCCAGCTGACACCCTCTACTGACTAAAGTCCCACTCACTAACCAACACCTACTTGCGAGCAAGTGAGTGAGCCCTTTTGGGAGCAGATTCCCCAGCCCCAGTTGAATGTCCCAGGGATGCCACATGAGGTAGAGACAAGCTACACCCCATACTTCATGCCCAGGGTACAGACTTTCAAAGTGAATGAGTGTGGTCCTTTTTAACCGCCAAATGTTGGTATGCTGGCTGACCTACGGTGTCCCATCACCATGATCCGAATCCTGACAATCTGTGTCTCAGCGCCTCCCTCCCGCCTCCGCCCTCTCTCCCGTCGCTACCCCACTGCAATGAACACCCGCAGTGGGATCCTTGCAGGGCGTACCTCTTGCCCATCCTACTATCTTCCCTTTCTGACTCTGGCTGACTTTAACCTTGGGGAGCTACCGCAAGTGCCACGTTTCCTCCTCCCCCACCCTCCTCCACACACACTGGGTCAGTCCCTTTCTTCTCTATCGGGCCAGATGAGTTTTGGAATTTATAATTTCCTGTATTTTAGAAAGGTAATGTGGCACCTGTAACTGGATAGTATAGCAAATCTGCAGTGGGATCTGCAGCAACACCTTATAATCAAATATTGTAATAGTTCAGAAGTGCAATACAGAAACATTCACATAAAGCGCTATAAATAAAAACTGTAAGTAGCGTTATGTCAGTTTAGGCCAGGTTTTCTTGCCAAGTGAATTTTTAAAAGAGTCTATACTTTCCCAGAACTGTTTGGATTTAAAAGTTTACAGATAAGGCATTGCGACCTTCACCAACTATTCTTCATTGCCAAGTTTGTTTGCCTTTTGCACTGGGCACTGAATTCTCTAAGCACACAGCGCTCTGCCCATGACGTATCCCCTCTGCCTGGAAGATCATTGATTCTCAGAAACAGAACACTGAACTCATCAGACATACACACCACCACCAAAACTGGGATTATGGAGAGAACTTAAAGTTCTTCATCCATGTTTGTTGTAAATCTTATACTGCCTGCCTTGAACTATGAGGTGTGATCAAAATATAGGGTGAACATTTAAATTCTTAAAAATTTATTACACTAAAAGACACGTTGCCATTAATTCCCTTCAGTGTATACCCCTCATGTCAAACACACTTATCTAATCATTCTTGCCACTTTCTGAAGCAGTTCTACAAATTCACTTTTGTGAGTGTTTTCACAAGTGAAATCAAAATTCAATTAGTGCTACCACTGAGCGCTGTCCACTGGAAAAGCCAGGTTTGTAAAAACATCATGTGTCCGTGCCTACTTTATTCTCCAGATCTGGCCCTGTACAACTTCTGGCTGCTCCCCAAAGTCAAAACAACTGTGAAACTCAGATGTTTTAAATCAGTTCAGCACATTGAGGCAGCCAGGACAGTACATTTGAAATATCACAAAAGAATAGCTCCAGAACTGCTTCAGAAGAAGGCAAGAGCCCTGGACAGTGCTTGAAGTGGGGACAAGTATTTTGAGGGCAATTAATGGCAATGTCTTTTATTGTAAAACATTGTTTTTAAATTTAAACATTCACCTGTTTTTCAATCACATCTCATAATTTGGATCAATTATCCAAACTAACAATTCCATTGTTAATTTTAAGTAGATTTGATGGAGTTTGAGTTAAGGGAAATGAGATTATCATATAATATTAGGCAGGGGCTGGGGATTTAGCTCAGCGGCAAAGCGCCTGCATGGCAAGTGCAAGGTCATGAGTTCGGTTCCTGGTACCGGAGAAAAACCAAAAACAAAACAAAACATATAATATTAGGCAAAAAAGAAATCAAAACTACTAGAAAATATAATCAACAATATGCAGCTAGGATTTTTGTTTCACATTCTATATTCTATTTACACTCCATTTAGTAAGGATGGTTTAGATAATAATTTCAAATTAATAACTGTGTTCCATTTCACTCTATGCCTCCATATAGACAAAAATATCATTTGTAATATATTGAATAATTTCTTCATCTAAAAAGTATTTAGATACATAAAGAAATTATTTTATCACTTAGATCAAGCTCTTCTGTCTCACTTAAAATACATTATCTTAGAACTTAATTGGCAGGGCTGGGGATATAGCTCAGTGGGACAGCACCTGCCTGGCAAGCATGAGGTCATGAGCTCAATTTCTGGTACAAAAAAAAAGAATTTAATTGGTAATGTTGAATTTTTACCTGTTTAGAATGGATCATTGTAAAACCCAAGTTCTAAAATTTCAAGGTCATCAAATGCTTAAATATTAGTTTTGGATATTCAGTGCAGAGAATTCCATTTCCACATGACTGACATTTGAATTGTTTAATGATGACCAAAGATGTGTTGTACTTTTAATTAAATTCACTGTCTGAATTATCTGAAGTACAAACAAGAAGAGAAAGAATAAGAATACAGAATTTATGGATCCTGAATGCCTCTAAATTCCATTTATGTCTGAGTAAGCTTGAAGAACTAAACGACAGGAGAAAGCACACACTGCCGAATTAGAACAGCTTCCATTTGGGTCTCCTGACAGAGGGCAGATCAGAGAGCTGGGTTTCCTTTGGCAACCTTCCTGTCAATCGTCAGAGAACATGACACATGGTCCATATCTGGCTTACAAAATCAAGTCACTTAATCAGCATCTCTGCTGCATTATCAGTTTTGGATATTAATAAATTAATTTTGGGTGCTTGATAGTGTTGGACTTCACTGCAATCATATAAAGCTCAAGTGGCTTTTTTATGATTTAGGAGTCACTTTTTCATTTACACCAAAGTGCTATTTTGAACAGTCTCATTTATTCTGTATCAACTTAATATTTGCTCTTAGTTTAGTTCAATTTTTTATAAAGGACTCCATCCTGGAAATGGTTTCTATACAATCATGAACTCCAAGTCTCAGACCCGCACCATGTAAAATGAGAACAGTGTACGTGAAACTTGAGGAAGAGCGTCTGTCATGAGTCATAGGCCTGCCGAGCTCTTGCTCCAGGCTGTCCTGGACAGGCAGGCGAACAAACCCCACAAGCCGTGATTTCTAGCCTGAGAAAGCTTTGTGTTTGAGTAAGACTATGCATTTTCCTGTTTGGCTTTATTTTTATATTTCTGTGCCTAGCACTTTGAAAACCCTTTGAGATCAGTGTCGCCTCAGTCCTGAGCTATCATCTGAAGTGGTTAGTGACCTGTTCACACCATTAGAATGAGGAACTGCCTGTGAGACCCGAGGGGACCATCTGCTAGCAAGCCACACTCTTCTTCCTCCCAAGTTCTGCACTGCAGGGTTTCGGAAAGAAGTAGAGCGTAGAGCGCAGGTGTGCTTTCCACTCTGGTCCGTCCTCCCCACCCTCCACTCCTGCCCCTAGTCTGACCCACTTCAAGGGGCCTAGAGATCTTTATGCTGTTCCTCAATTTTACTTTCAGTGACCAGAAGAGAAACAGTGGACTTCGTCCTCATTCTGCCATGTGCACACAAGCGCACATGCACGCACGCACGCACGCACACACGCCCAGGCTCACACTGGCCCACACATACCCTGCAGGGCTCTGGAGGCCTGGGCTTCTTGATCCGCTTTGAGTGTTCCACTCCATGTGACCTCAGGAGAGTGAGCTAACCACCTAGAAGTTCATGTCATTAATCTGTAACACACTCTCTACTCTATTGCGCCTTTGCAAGGCTTGAGGAGATCCGTGTAGGAATTAGATACTGTAGGATTAGTTTATGATGCGGTCAGCACACAATAAGTAGCAAGTGTGAGTAGCAGCTTTCTGATCACACTTGAGCCTCAGGTAGGCTTATTGCTGCCCCTCAGCAGTGTGCTTCCATGCTGAAACTTGGTTCATGATTCCATTCTGAAAGTTACTTTCCTCTTCTAGTATGTGGCACGTTTCCCACCTCCTCAGTAGACACCTCTGTGTGAGGCGCTTTGTGGATACACTCCGCGGGTTATCTGCCTGATTTAACAGTCAACGTTACCCGCTGCCTCTACTGCCAACAAGTAGCAGTGAACCAACTACCCCAGTCCTTGCCGTCCTCGTACAAGAGGGTGATGACCCGGGCCTGGCTTCACCTTTCTGGGACCAGCCACAAGCCACCACATCCTGTGACGTGGTACCCGCTCTCAGTTTGTAGTGAAAACAGGGCCTGTCATTCTTAAACTATGTTTGTTTTTTTTAATTTTAAAAATAAAAGGAGGGAAACATTAACAGACAGACAACATTTTACAAAATAGCAAAAGAACAGTACAGACA